TCTCTTATACACATCTAGATGTGTATAAGAGACAGATATATATATATTAGTTAATGGTTGTCAATATATTCTCTGGCAGACAGTAATTACGTTATAATGCGGTTAACTGTCAATCAAGATTGGTTAGAATGACCAGGTATGACTGATAGCTGCCAATCACTTTTCAGTGTCACTCTCTTGTCTATGTCAAGCACTGCATTTGTTGTCAGTCATTGTATTGTGATTTGTCAGTACCTGTATTGCCTATTGATTACCATATTTGGGTCAACTGTCATTCTGTCACTTCAGTTGTTGAAGATTAACTACCATCACTATTAAATAAGGATAATTGTTTTCCTAAGTTAATGTTAAATTCTGACAGAATCATTGTTCAAACATACAGTATTTACTTATGGTATAAAAGGATGTACTGGCTTGATCTTATTTAGTGATGGCAGTTATGCCATTCTAGGCTGCCATTAGGTTCCATCATTATAACAATTAATGGCCAATACCAAGCAACATTTGATGATAGTAATCAGCATCCCCATTCGCTGCTGGTAGTCAGCACTAGGAATCATTTGATGATGGTAGTTAGCATCTACATTTGGTGCCAGCGTAGTCACCACTAGGCATCATTTGATGATGGCAATCATCAAAGCGGCAGTTTGGTGCCGCGGTTGAGGTTTGGGCTTTCAATCATAAGGTCGGGGTTTTGAGTCTTTGCTGTGCAGATTCGCTTGTGTCCTTGGGCAAGGCACTTTAGCTACATTGCTTCAGTCCACCCAGCTGTATCAATGGGTACCAGCAAACTGCTGGGGACTAACCTGGGGGGAATACAACTCTCATCTGCTTCACACTACAGAAACTGGGGATAAGCTCCAGCCCTATGAACCCCCGTGGCTCAGAAAGGATTTAGTTTTGGTGCTAGCGGAGTCACCACTAGGCATTGTTTGATGATGGTAATCAGCATCCGCATTTGGTGCTAGCATAGCCACCACAAGGTATCGTATGATGTTAATCAGCATCCATAATTGGTATCGGAGGTTGACATTAGCCATATTTTAAAGAAATGGCAGTCACCAGATATGCTTATTCTTGTAGTCACTAGTAGACCTCAGTTGAGGATGGTAGTGTTTTTATGTCTTTGTAAAAAGAGGTAGCATCAAATAATGTAGACATAGTCCTCCTGTTTAAACCATAAAGCATTAACGGCTTCTACTAATTATTAACATTGAATTGTGGCTTAATATTGTATTTACTTATTTCTAGGTGGTGAAGCTTGTATCATACATTATTTTTTTTATATAACGTTAGAATTAGAAATGTTAATGTCTATTTTATAAATACTTACCTTGATATCCAGTTAAGTATTTCATAAATACTTACCTGGATATCCAGGTAAGTATTATGAAATACTTAACCTGGATATCCAGGTAAGTTTCAGAATACATAGCCTACCAACATCACTGCTGATTTGTGTAAGTTCAGAAACCTAAAAAGTATAAAATGTTAATGTTGATTTCATGTCATGATTTCATTACAATAACAGGGACAGAAGACTTGGCTATGCAATGAGCGAAGAGGAGGCATCTCGCCTCCATGCAGAAGATGATGTGATGAGCCGATCCGGAATTCCTTCTCCACCCTCGAAGACTCGGAGTAGCGCTGAGAACGAGTACGGTTTTATTCCGCCAAATAGTGGTAGCAGGTATGAGACACAGGATTGGGTGATCCAGAAAAAAGGCCAAAGCCTGCAAAATGGCGCTACCCCAACTCCAAGTATTCACGACAGGTGCTTTTCTTTGGCTTCTATTTATTTATTTAAATTTTATTCAAATGTAAAATTAGAATATTCAAATTTAGTCCAAGTCCAAGTCATCACAAAACCATAGTAGAAATCGTACCAAAATGAATATTATTGTAATTAAAATAAATATGAAATTTAATTATTATAAATTTGCCAAAACTCGTTTTTTTTTATTCTCACCATAAAATATCAAAAATTATAAGTATCAAAATTCAATGAAGCAATTGTCAACTAATTTAATAAAATAATTGTAATAATTAAAATATTAAATTAAATATGACAGCTTTGTGACAACTTGATTGAAAATTATAAATTTTATGAATTATCAATACTTGTTTGAAAGTTTTGCATGGCATGGCACCCTTACAAAAAAACACAGTTCTTTTCAGAGCATGCTATGTTTTCATCAAAACTTTAAGCATCTGATTTTTTCAGATATTTAAAACTAAAAATATAGGATTGGTTAGTCTAGTAGGTCATGTGATCCAACTACATACACTATTATAGGATAGTGACATGTGATTAAAACCATAATCTTTGATTGGATAGCTTAGATTCAGATGAACATGTGATCCGAGCATGTAAGTAGTGGAATGAAATAGTGCATGCAAGTGTAATTACAGCAGTTTCTGCTTTTGCAGGCAGATTGCTTTTAAAAGACGGCATGTTTTAAACTGACAATGATTATTGAACCAAATTGATTAGAATAGCTGTTCCAATCAATTCTGATTCAATTGTGTTCAATTGTGTTGAGTAATTCGGGGGGAAGGCGGTTTGGCTCTGCGGTTTCTTTTTTGATTATTGAATTTGTGGTCAGGAGTTCAAATCACATACATTCCAATCTCACCCGGCCATACTTAGATACCACAACTTGCATTGTTCACAGGCTCTGGAGTGGCTGAGTCTATGTTTCAGCCCTAGATGCAAGCATTTCATGGCATATAAATTTATTAGTTAAGTAACCCCATACCTAGAAGTGACTTTCGGGCCTTCTTTTAGGCGATTTCAATAATATTAAAATAGTAAATAAAATATTGCAACTTTTACGAACAAAAAAAAAGTCAGTAATGCAAAATATGAGATTGTATAACCAGTATTCAATCATGTAATTAGATAGAAGTTGCAGTTACCAACATGGATAGTTGGCAAATCAGATTCACCCCTTTTCCTCTCCCCTACACAAAATTGTTCTACTTTTTACTGAGACACAACTGTATATGAGATTGTATACCAACATTTCCATTGTATGATTAGATGTAGAAGGTAGAAGGTGCAGCTTCCAACATTATTATTGATAGTCAACAAGTTAGCATAACCCCTTCCATCTTCCATTCCACACACATACCATATTTTACTTTTGATCTTGATATTTTACTTTACAATAAACTTCAGGAAGTTCCTTCTTATTTTAAACTTACTGTATACATTTATCTTACCCCTATATTTTTCTTTAATTAGCTGATGAAATTGAAAATTTTAATGTATATAAACTAACTAGCACTGCCGTAAGGTTTACGTGAGCAGGCGCCAGGGACACTGATCTAATTCACCCTGATTTCCGTGCTCATAATTGCTACAAAATGTTACATTGTAGTGTGATTATTCAGTTAATGTTTAATGTTCACAACATTGATTCTATATTTAGTATTTTATTAAGTGTTCTTGTAGTTTCAATTGTACATGACTATAGATGAGTATCTTTTACATTGTATAGAGAATAATACTGCCCTCTATTCTAATGACTTGTTGTGAGCAATAGAGGGCAGCATGTATATGCTAATGACTATCATTATTATAAAGGACAACATTTATTCTATTTATTTATGCCCTCTTACACTGTACAGAGAATTTTACTGCCCTCTATTCTAAGTTGTGAACAATTGAAGGCAGCATGTATTGCTAATGACTATTAGACATTATTATAAAAGACAACATTATTCTCTTTATTTATTCCATAATAATTCTATTGAAATTTACTGCCCTCTATTCTAAGTTGTGAACAATAGAAGGCAGCATATATATGCTAATGTCTATTAGACATTATTATAAAAGACAAATTATTCTCTTTATTTATTCCATAATAATTTTATCGAAATTATTGCAATGTTTGCTAAAAACAAGGTTATACAATGATTTTCTTGACCTCTGACATAGACTTTCACAGTTGAAACTATAAGAGCAGGGCTTATTTAGTTTTTAACTTATGCTGAACAGTGTATTATTTAACATACGTAATCTTTGTTTGAATTCTGTGTAAGAGAACACAAAATGCTAATTATTTTTTTGTTTTGTATTTTTTACCAAAACATTTTAAATTCATTCTGGATTTTTAATATTGATAATAACACAACACAAAGACTTTACATAAGTAGTTATGTATAATATATGTGAGCTTTGATATTTAAAAGCAGTGTAGCTTATTTGGTGAAACCTGTGTTAGCCATTATTCCTATGTCAGAGGTGGGCTTAAAAATCGGTTAGAGGGACAAAGTGAATTTTTGATTTAACACTGCAGGCCGCATCCAAACTTTGATGTTTGCAGTCTGCTTCCAAAAACCTTCATACACTGCTTTTATACCACTATATTCTCAACTTTAATATTACTTTTTACAGATGATTGGTGTTTGGTGGGGTAAAAAAGGTTTTTTCTAGTCAAAAATGTTTGGCAGGCCGCACACTTAGGGTTTTTAATTCATTTTCGTGATCCATAAGAAAAATCACTGTCGGCCCGTGGGCCGCACCTTGCCCACCTGTGGTTTATGTGCACTAAATATTTAGAGATAAGTCTTTGGTTTAATTCCATCACTGCTGTGACACTAAGAATACAAATTTTATATAGTGAACCATCTTCTTGAAAAGAGGTGATGTTGATCTTGTGCACTACTTTGTGGGCATTTGATAACCCAGTAGGTAGAGAAGTAGATATTAGTAAGGTTGACCTGTATACTGACCTTTACACTACCATCAGGCAGAGAACAGTCCTTCAACTATTGAACTCACGTTTTAAGTAACCTTATTGATTCCAAGGCAAGCAATTTTAGTTGCAATCGCCCCCCCCCCCTCCGCCATTAGGAAATAGAACAATAAAACTTTGCAGTTGAAGTTCTTATTTCTATTATTTTTCATCACATACTGAAGTTAATTTTTCTTTTGTTATTTTTTATACTCTTTGAAATTACTTTTGTGGAAATATAGAAAGATGTAGATCAAAATATTTATAAATAAATGCTACAGTGATGAAGGTTTACCACTTTCTAATTCAATCCCCAAGTCTCATGTCGAGAAAATGTAGAAATATGTTTTAAAATATTTTCAAATAAATCACAGGTTTTGGAGATTGCCACCATTTTAAATGTAAGAGATCACTTGATTTCATGTATGAGACTATTCAACAGTCTGTCTGCTCTTTAGTGAATTTATGTACCTTCTACATGCGTGGTGTGACTCAAGTAACATATTGCTAGTTGTTCTAATAAAACCGACTATTGCACCTTGGAAATGAAGAACGGGAGTTGCTATAGACAAGCTTTGGCCATTTTTCCAAATCCTTTATATAATTTATAGGGTTTAGTTTTTTTGTTTTTTTTTGGTTCATTTTGTTTGCAGTACTACTAGCTCGCTATATTTATTTGCAATTCAAATTGTACAAATTGGCTTTTTTAATCAGAAGTAGATTACTGATGTTTTTTTTTATTGATTTGCATTTAGATTTTTTTTACAAAATAAGTAAAAATGATAGCTAACAGATTGTAGTGAAAATTTAGATGCTAACAGCATACATTCAGTATTACTTTTATTACTGCAGCTTAAACTTACAGTACTATGCCTTTCTTAAATGATAAAAAATAATTTTCAATAGAGAATATTTATTCTGCTATTGCTAATGCTAGGTAGCTTTGGGTTAAAATTATAATTCAATTTTGTATGTGGATGATGCTTTTTTATTGTGTCTCGACTGTATTTAATATTTCAATAGTTTTCTTACGAATTATTTGAATGTACAGTTGGTAAGTGCTGTCAAGAAAAATGTAAATATGTGATATTCCCAGAGATTTAAAACATTTAACTGATGGTTACAAGAAACCTAAAACAACTAAATTAAATATTTAGGATTGTGCTAATTATATCAATGATTAATTTCCACTTTTTATTTGAATACTTTTAAATTTTAACCCTTTGTAAAGTTTGCCATGACACATTTCATATTTGGCTTTCAGGCTATAACAAAAAAAATAACATTTATTATGAACCAATAAAATAAAATGCATTATTTAATCTAAAAAACTCAACATTTACAAATCAATATACTCTATTTCTTATATTACTATTTTTATGGTTTGTTGTTTTTCTTTTTCTTGATTGGTAGTTTTGCTTGGTCTTATTTTGCTGTATAGCACATTACATTGTTCTGTGCATTTATAGTGTGAAAATTAATAATATGTAGTCTGTTATTAGTTACCAAGCATGCTTTGCACTTGTATTCATTACCATACATCATCAGACCTATCACCATGTATGTGATAGTATAGTTGCTAACCTTTTATCAAAATAATAAAATCAAAATAATAATAATGGCAATTCTTGTTTTCATTGTTACTTAATTAATTCATATCGTTTAATACATGGTGAATTATTTTTAAATGATAATTATATTTTTAAAATAATTTATAATAAAAATATAATGACAACTCATTCATACCCTTATATTGAGCTTAATTATAATTATCCTAAATTCTGAACTCATCTACACCCTCATGCTAAACTTATTCACACCCTCATGCTAAATTCACCCACACCATCATGCTAAACTCACCCACACCCTCATTCTGAACTCATCCACACCCTCATTCTGAATTCATCTCCACCCTCATGCTAAACTCATCTCCACCCTCATGCTAAACTCACCCACACCCTCATGTTTAACTCATTCACACCCTCATGTTAAACTCATCCACCCCTCTCACCCACTTCCCTGATATTTAACTCATCCACACCCTCATGCTAAACTCATCCACACCCTCATATTTCACTCTTCCAAACCCTCATCTTTTACTCAACCACACCCTCATTCGTAACACAATCATCACAATATAGTCAATTCACACCCTTTTCTAATTTACTGTTTATAAGCTTATTTCTAATCTTGTGGTTTTCTTTTATTGTTCAGGTCAACTATTGCAGAAATTAACAGCTATGAAAACCCATGGCCAGTCAGTACCGAGGAGTTTGAGCCGCCAAGAACAACATTATAGCCAAATATTATCGCCTGAATATTTTTTCTACATTTAAAACTTATTATTAACAAATTGTGTACATAAAATGTTAAAGTTTAAACTTTCTTGTAAAATGTCCATGTAATATTCAATTAAAGACTGTTACAAAATATATGTTGTTTTCTTTGAAGAACTGATAATTATTTTCATATTGTTAAGTGTGAAATCAAAATAACTGGTGTTTTTACAGTGTTTCGAAATTTGGGTTCAATACCATTTTGTTTATTGATTATTTTCAAATACCTAAGATTGTATTGTACTGTAAGAGTTTAGGGAGCATTCGATTTGCACGACAACAGAGGACGTAGAACGTAATGACGTCACTAAAAGTCATCTGCGCATGCGAGAACGTTAAGTTCGCCTTGCCGAGTAGATTCTGGAATGCAATTTGGCCAAATCTATGTATGCAGAGAACGTAGGACACCAGGTAGGATGGTCACGCATGAGTGATTCTGTTCTAGCGTCGCGTCGTTGCGCAAAACGAAAGCTTCCTATTCAGATTTTTTCTATGTGAAACAGTTCAATGGACATTTCCAAGGCCAATCAAACTTAACTGACTAATCAGAAAGTCTCATTTAATAGGTAGCACCAGAAACACACCTTCATGACTGTGCGTTACAGTTGCTGTATCCTAGCAACGATTAATAACCAAGAGGCTAGGCTTAGCTGAATGGTCCATTGTTACATATTTCATTGGTGATGGATCTGGAATCCTTGTTGTATTTCTTATAAACTGTAAATATATGAACGAGTGTAAATTCTATGTTTCTTTTATATACAATACAATTTAGATATAAGCAAATATATACAGTAAGTACTAAAGCCTGTTTTAATCATTTAAAAAGTAGAATTTTTGGTTATTTAAAGAGGCATAAAGAAAAAATACATTTTTGTGGAAAATTTAACAAACGTAGAGCATCTTAAATAATTCATTTTAGTGATGAAGCTATGTTAAACTTGTTGCTTTAACTAATAAGATTATATTTTGCCTGTTCTGCCAATTTTCTAACAACCCTTGACCTATTTAAACTATTTTAGCTTTGCCAATTTTTATAAACGTTTTTTCAGTCCGATTTGAAATAAGTGGTATATTGTATAATGTTCATGCTAATAGAACACATACAGGTCTCCCATTTGGGACCAGGAGTTTGACTGTCTGTAGCAGCTTTGGTCTCTAATTAGAATAATAAAGATACAAACCATTTGTTAATTTGAAAAGTCGTCTTAATTGAGGTTGTCTTTAATTAGAGGAGTCTGTAATTAGAGTGTGACCTCTATTAAAAACAGAAATGTACCAAATTTTAGGTCTTGCTCCAATATAAGACCATTTTAATACTATTACTTCCACACATCTTTGGCTGCATTGGTCCTTGATTAGGTATATACTTAAAAGTCAGTTGTTCTCCTGGGCCCTAAGACAAAAGTGGTCTTTAATTGGAGGTGGTCTCTTTGAGGTGGTCCTTATTTAGAGGGAGACCTGTATTTTAAAACATTCTTAGTAGACCATTTTGTTCACTAGAGTCATGAAAATTTTAGAGAGTTATTTTAAATAGACATAGAACTATAATTCTAGTCTTGAAATACCCCGGCTCAATTGTTGCTTAGTATGTAAGCACTGGCCCTTAGTTTCCGTCCAGAAAATAAATGTGCAGTTACCTTTGACCTTTGGCATTGTCGAATTGTGCAATGTAATTCGTAATTTATTAGTACAAACATTCCATCCATATATTTCCGTCTTTTTCTATTGTGATGATTAATATTTGTAATTTAGATTTTTAAGAATTGTACATTTAATAATTTTTTTAAAAATCCGTCCTTATAGTGTAGAATATGTTTTTTTTTTCAGATTCTAAGTTAAAATTCATGTTTTATCAAGTTTATTGAGGGGAATTGTATTTTGAATTTTTGCTAGAAAAATGCTACAAAAATGATTAAAAAATATATACATGTTTCATATAATTCAATCCTTAACGTTAATTTTGCCCGCTTTATTGATATACTTTAATTAAGTTATTTGAATTTAATCTTGTAATTGTATAACACATTATAAATGACATAGCTTGAATTTTACTTTACAAAGTATTTTACATTCAAATTTCACTTTACCCAACATTTATTTAACTTATAAATTAACTAGTAACAAAATGGCATACTTACTTAATACATTATATTTTTATTTAACAACATTGAAATTGTTTTAATTGGTTGCAAGGTCAGTGTGAAATACCGTAACGTTACTTTAAAAAGAAAGTTTGTTTTAGAACATTGATTGATTGGTAATTGATTGAATAATTGGTAATTGACTGATCAATTAATAATTGACTGATTTGTAATTGATTAATGTGTAATTGATTGATTAATTGGTCATTGATTGATTGATTGATATGTAATTGATTGGTTGGTAATTGATCGATTTATTGATTAGTAATTGATTGGTTTGTAATTGATTGATTGGTAATTTATTGATTGATTCACTATGCTTTTGTCTAGCATGAATCTTTCACTAGATTTGTTTGCAAGATATTTTCATTTTAAATGCAAGAGATCAATAAGTCTGTCCTAAGTTAAGTTGTTCTCCCATCTCACGATCAATTGCTGTAGTCCAAGATTAATTTATTTCCATCACACTGGACAGTTTGGACAGTTCATACAATTTTTCTATGTGGGTCCACAAAGAATGGGGCCACATTTTAAAAAATGGGTTCAAATTATGCAATTTATGCATAAAATTGGTCCAGATTTCTCATATTTAGCCTAAAATTTAAGAAAATGGGTTCAGATTTTTCATATTTTTGCGTAAAATGGTTCCACATTGTTTGAATTTACACATAAAGTGAGTCCACCATAATATTGTCCCGCACTGTTTGAAAATCCTGGCTACGGCCTTGACAAATGCATCCACAGTACATAAATATTCCGATTTTGCTTCTGCAATTCCTGTGGACTATTGCAAAACTGGACTTACTGCAACAAGTGGTAAAAAGACCGCTTCAATCATGGTTTTGACAATCAAAGTAAAATAGGGTTAAGATTATTCATTCAGTTGCGTGTTGTCGATCAAGAATGATTTGTTTTTACACATTTGGAAATAAAGGTTTGATTGTGAATTTTAAACAATTGGAAATCACTTTTATTTACCGTTTCTTACCTACGTTTGTGTCACAGTTGCAAACTTATTAATACAGTAATTGATAATACATCGTACAAAACATACAATTGGGAGAGGGGTACGGTAAATAGTGTGTGCATGATCTTTCTTTTAAGTAAAAATCTCAAAATGACTATCACAGTGTTCTTTAAGGCTTCTAAGGAAAGTCAGCGATGGTGCCAGGATTTGATTGGAGGTTGGAGGTCCGAGGTCCTCGACGAGGGAGGCCAATTGTCCCCGACGAGATCAAAGTAAGCGTGGTCGGACGTCGATCAAACTCTTTCGAAAGTGGTCCAGGGGTTTCAAAGGCTTATTTAATTGATTTTAGTTGTGATAAATAGTAATAATAATTAAATGTGTTTAATGATACATATAATATTTTTTTCCACGATGAATTATAGTTTTCTCCCCGACTCGAGGGGGGAGTTCGGCGGTCCCCCTATTGGTGCCACACCTGAGAGTATGTTTTGTACTCTCTTGAACATTTTAATTAATAACAAAATGAATATACCCTCTTTTGACAAATTGCAAGGTTTACATTACTGTAAATGAAGTCATATTAGTTATAGGTTGCATAATGAATATTATACAAGTGTTTTGCTTTGTCAAAATACTGCCGGCCCAGCATGCCTTTTTAGGGCGGGGTCAAATGAACCCGGTGTAGGCCTACGCACTTTTGGATATTTAGTAGAGACTTGTGATTGTCATGTATGTTCCAATGATTTTTTGCAGGGTTCGATTCTGGCACCTTGATTTCAACACACTGCATCCAACCTTCGTTAGCTTTATTGGTTCTTTCAAACAGCATATAATTTGCGAAAGTAGCAACAAATCGTTACATGGATCTGGTGAATCAGTAAACAGAATCGTCTTCGTTACCTTCATCATTCGCGTCATCGTCTTCGTCACCTTCATTCAGTATTTCATTTCATTATCTTCGTCGCCGTCAACTCTGTCCTCGTCATCATCATTATTAATATTATCATCACAAACACTAGACTACGCTAAACATAAAACTATATAACACTAATCGGTTCCACCACCCTCTACATCGTCACAGACGCACGTTGGACGCAATTTGTTTTCATAGGATGGCGAAGCAAGTTTCTCATGAATTATGCATAATCGTCCTAATAGTTTGCGCAGGGCTATTTTTAAGTGTA